TTTGGGACATGCTCAGGCTGACTTGCCCCAAGTGGTGGAGTTGGAAGCATACCAGGGGATTCCAATTCAATCCCATCGAGGTGGCATGTACCAATGCCATCTCACTGTTCCAGGTGATCAGTTTCAGTTCACAGTTGGTCATGGTGAAGGGACTGGGAGTCAAAGGGAGCACATAGACAAGTCTAGTACCTGCTAACGCTAACTGATGGAGTAAATAAAGGGGAGAGTGATCCAACATGGGAAGTGAGAATCTCAGCAGACTCATAGAATGGCAGATGTCCTAAATAGCACTCTGGCCTCAGAATCAGCCCTAAAGGCATTCGGAGCTGGCTGAAAAGATTCATTTTCAATTATCTTTATATACAGAAGATCAACTTAGTATATACTATGTAAAGATTTCAACATTTTGAACCTACACAGAAATATAAAGAATAAGGTATTGTTTGAGCACTAGTTATACCGTTAATTCATATAGTACAATACATTAAGGACAGAGATCCTACATGGGGAGAAAGTGCACAGTGACTCCTGTTGTTGATTTAACAATTGGCACTCTTATTTATTATGCCAGTAATCACCTGAGGCTCTTATCATGAGCTGCCAAGGTTGTGGAAACCTCCTGAGTTCACAAACTCCGATATTATTTAGACAAGGCCATAGTCAAAGTGGAAGTTCTCTCCTCCCTTCAGAGAAAGGTGCCACCTTCTTTGATGGCCCATTTTTTCTGCTGGAATCTCACAGAGATCTTTCATTTAGGTCATTTTTTTGCCATAGTGTCTTGGCTTTCCATGCCTGAAATACTCTCATGGGCTCTTCAGTCAGATAAGAATGCCTTAAGGGCTGATTCTGAGGCCAGAATGCTGTTTAGGACATCTGCCATTCTATGAGTATGCTGTGTATCCCGCTTCCCATGTTGGATTGTTCTCTCCTTTTTAATTCTATCAGTTATTATTAGCAGACACTAGTCTTGTTTATGTGATCCCTTTGACACTTAACCCTATAATTATGATCAATTATGAACTGAAACTGATCACTTTGACTAGAAGATGGCATTGGTACATGCCGCCTTGATAGGTTTGATTTGGAATCCCCTGGCACGTTTCTAACTCTACCATTAGAGGTAAACCTGAGTGAGTATGTGCCAAACTGTACATCTTCTCCATCTCTTATTCCCACTCTTATATTTAAGAGGGATCACTTTTCAGTTAAATTTAAACACCTAAGAATAATTGTATGTTAATTAAGTGTTCAACCAATGGTATTAATTAGAACAAAAAAATAATAAAAGGAGTAAAATAGTAAGTCGTTCCTCAACAGTCACGATAACGGCTGATCATGTCATTGTTTCTCATAGTGTCCATTTCATTTCAACAGGCTTCCTTTAAGTTTACAAAGAAGAAAGCTCTATTTTTATGTAAATTCGAGTGAATACATTCCCAATGAAAAAGACTCTTAAACTGTCCCAGAGCCATGTGGAAACCTGTATGTTTCCAAGAAAATTCCAAAAATAAAACAAAAAAAAATATAAAATGCTGGACTATTAAAGAAAATCAACCATTAAGGAATGTATTGCTGCTATTAAAAACAGAACACATAAAGCCTTGCAAAATGGGAAAAAAAAAGCCAATTACCATGCAATGATTATTACATTCTGTCATTGTTGTTTACAAGGTCATTTTCTAAGTGCACAGAATATGAGGCTCTTGACAGGCATCCAGTGTGCCTTCTTCGCAGAGGTATCCCCATTTCACAAAACAGTGGTATCCTGGGAAATCTGGGCAGACTAAATTGATATGTCTTTGACAAAATAACTGGAAATAAAATCCATGAATTCTCAAAAGGTAATAAAATAACATTGATTTTGATTATATCAACTTTATAGTTTATAAAAAAGAAAAAACACTATCCTAATCTTTGATAATACATTTAAGCTATGAGGTTAAAAAATAAAATCTTAAAAAGCACATAAAAATTCTGAGTGATGCATTCAACATTCATGAATACATAGCAATTATATGCCAAGCATCCATGAAAAGAGAATGCATTTGTTAAGTACCCTAGCAAAGTGATCCTGCAAATAAGGGGAGGAATTCTAAGATATGCTGCGATAAACTTTTTAAATATTCCAGAGAAATTAAAATCTAAATATAATAACATGTTTTTACCACCCAAAAATCATTGTAGTGATTGAAATTTAATGTGGAAAAATAAAAAAAAATAGTTCTATTAGATATCAAAACAGGAAAGTGACCTACTAGATGTGTAAAATATATTTCAAAAAAGGTTAATAAGAAACTAAATACTTTTGCAAATTTAAAATTGTCATGTATAAGGAATGTTTAAAACAATAGAGATACCAGTTTGCTTTGAATAATTGATGAATATGTTAATATAATTCACATTTATTTGGGTCCAATTATAAGTGCAGTGCCTACGTTGCAAAGTTTACTCAAATTTATGAGTCTGATTCTCTCATCATTAAATTTAGGAATTATTGTTTAAGAAAGACAATGTTCTCCCAAATTTGGATCAGTAGTATTGTCATATTACCTCACTAAAAATACAAAGTATAACAACAAAAATAACTAAAATATAATATTTATACTCAGAAAATGGGTTATTTGGGATGGCAAATGCCTCCTGAAAAAGTCATAGTTATTATTGTTTATTAATTATAATATAAATTTGAAAATCCTTCCCAGTAAGAAACTAATCCACAGATATATACAGCCTTTACAAAAAGCATTCTATCCTTATTAAAAATTAATTTTACATTGTCATGTTTTTTCCTCAGGAGACTAATAGATGTTACCCTATAGACAATGAGATACAAATCTCTTAATTTTGTTTCTACAGTTACTTGATCCATCTTTTCAGCCTTAGTTCCTAAGAACCCATCTTTAATTTTTTATAGGTGAATTCTGTGATTTCTGTGATTGCTCTTTTCACTGAAATCTTCCTAAATCTTCATCTTTTTGATGTTATTTCCTCCTTCTCTCTCTAATATATGCCAAAGTGTACTTCAAGTTATTGTTCCACCCAAAACTTCTATCAATTTACATGGGATATACTGATGGTCTTTATATATCATCTATCTTCCTATCTAATCATTTTCTGTATTTGTAAGATCCAGATTGCACCCAACTCAACTTAGATATTCCTATACTTTCTTTAATATCTTTGTGACTTTCCAGAGGGTTTATTATTTAGGTTCCAATAACATTAAATCATTTTGTTAACACATACCCATCTCTGCTTCTTGTGTACAATCTATTCAAGAAAGACATAGTCAACTCTTTTGCACACAAAGCACTGTGAGATTGACTAGGGATATTGAAATCAATAAGGTAAAGAAATCTCTGAAAATATGTTTACAAGGTAAGTTATTTGATCCTGGATGTCTATTTCCAAGAATGTAATCTTCTGAGGAACCATAGGACATACATATATGCACCCACATACATGTACAACTCAGGTAAAGATATATATGTATATACATATACATACACATAACTATTATACAAATCCTATTTCTTTCAATTATTTTTGACAAACCAACTATAATGTAAATTTCATTCCTAGGTTTGGTGTCAATGATGGACAGTGCAATTAGGTCATTAAATTTAGATGTGGCAAAGTTTGGAGCCACTCCTGATTCATCTTAGCAACACCATCTGCTGGGTTTGTTGAATGATTTTCCCT